TTGGGGTTCAGTGTCTTGCTCAGGGACACTTAGGCATGCGGGGAGACCGGGAGTCAAACCACCGACTTGCTGGTCAGAAGACGACTTGCACTACCTCGTGAACCACAGCCACCGCTTGTGGATTCAAGCTCAAATATTTCAATTCAAACAAACCCTGAACATTATGACCCGTCAGTCTGCTCCTACATCAACCACAGTGACAGCAGTAATAACGAGATACAAGGTTCTCACAGAGGAGGTTTGAGCTATATTTTAAATCAGATCTTGGCATCCAAAATGGATTTATGAAATGCTGACTCAAACAACCTCCTCGGTTTTTGCTGATTCTGTCCGACAGCCTGCCAACTGCTTTTTAAACCTGTCTGAGTCCCAAAAGCTTTCCTACCTTGTAGAGAGAAATACCTCACCTAGCAAAGACTGGCTACAGCAAATTACAGTTGAGCTCAAACGTGAACTGACACACAAACAGGACATGGTTTATACTGAGCCACATGTGGAAAGAAAAATACTGAGATTAGAAATCTGTGCACATAAACCTATGTGTTTAAACCTAGTGTAACATTTAGTAGTCTATTAAAAAACAATTACACTTTTATTTTGAGTTCATATTGTCGTGCTTTCAAAAGAAAAAAAAAACATACTGACTGGGTGCTTCAAATTTAAAGAGTAAATATGTATAATGTAGAGTTTAGTAATGTAGTAACCCCAGTGCAATGTATTTTTCCCATGTAACCCTCACTGAAGATTTAAGAAGTCTGGGGCTACAGACTGAATAAGCAGCATCCACCTGTTCTGAAGGGCAATGTGTGAATATATGCATAAAAGAAAGCCTACATGGAAATGCTAGAAATTCTAAAGACCATCTTTGAACTAAAGTTAGTCTTCCACCCATGTACAATCACATAGTCAATATTCGGTAACACCTAAACCAGCTCCTTTCAATGGAAATATGCAGTCATAGCTAAAAAAGACAAACTAAATTATATTGACTGAGACTGAAAATGTGTTTGTATAGATAAACAAGTCATATTTAACTGTCACAAAAAAACTAAACTAACACAAAGATCATATTTAACGATTAAAACCATCCTGTACCAAAGGTTACACCAACAGCTGTGGCACCCTTGATTATGTAACCTTGTTGTGACTTCATTACACAGTCTGCATAACAGCAGATAATACACATTTATCTGCACTTTTTTAGAAATAATGGTCAAAACAGACATTTGGATAGCAACATGGTGTCTTGATATAACTGTATAATAAATTCTGAAGTGACAAGATATACTGTATGTCACACACTCTCAATGTCATGATGTGTGTTACAATGACTCTTTC